TATGGATGAAAAGGAAAATGAAGTAGGGAAGAAATAGCTGGAACTAAAATCCAGTTTTTAAATATTTTCAAAATAATGCATATATGAAATGAAAGAGGAACTCTCATTGATTTTTCGCTAACATAAGATTTGGAAAATTAACTTTTGAGTGAGAAGAATTGCAAATTTTGCTTGCATTTCGTACAGTTTATCTTTGCAGCCGTAACTACTGATTACCATCAAATATATGTTATAGTTTAAAACATAAATAACATTTAGAACGAAATCTGGAGTTTTTTTGGTTTTTGGAACTTAAGATTCATATTTGGATATTTCTCTTCATTTATACACTTCGGTATAAATCTTTGAATCTTGTCTCATCGTCCGTCTTTGTCCAATTTTTTGGAAAAAATGTGAATAGACGGAAATTTTTCAGGAATACTGCTCATCGAAGCTGCATTTCACACTGGCTTTCAAGCAGTGATAATTGTACGAACTGCTTACCAAACAGCATTTACCAATGCCGCCCACTCTTCTTGACAGGTATTATTCCTGGTTAGCAAATTTCGAGAATTATTATTGCTCACCTGACTAGAGCTTCAATTTTTTACCTTTTATCCATTTTCCTTGATGACAGGACATCTGATTTTAGATGCTTTTGACGATTGATATTTTGAATTTTTCTTTCGGAATCTGAGAAGGACATTGTAAGGACATTGTTAGGCGTGTGTATGCAGTGACATAACCGTTCAATATTTGTTAAATTGGGAGAAGTCAAATTTTCACAAATGGACTGAGACTAAGTAGCAGATAAGTTATGTGTTCTATCAAACACAAAAATGTGATAGCAAACAATCGATGTTATCCAACATTAAGCTGCGAAAAAATTATCATGATTGTATGTAACACGCACACCCATGCACACATTCATTCATACGTTAAGAAATCAAATCAAAGGTGCATCATTAATATTCGCCGCAACTTTTTACAGTTGAAAAGAAGACAAGGAAAGGGATGAAATTTGTAAGATCCTAATATATGGCTTGTGCAGAAAATTTATTTTACGAATTATTTTTGCTAAAATAAATTCTTTCTTTTCTCGTCAGACTTTAAGCTCCTCGGAATAGGTAATAATCCAATCAGCCAGTAATAAAACCAGACTTCTGATGTATTTGCGAAACTTGTACATTTTTAAATCGATTATTTTTTTCATTTTTGCATTTTCTCACACCATTCGTAGCACATTCATATTTTATTTGTAATTTTGTCGCGCATGAATCACTCAGAAGAGAAGTCCGTGAAGGTGACGGTTTAATGTTTTATATATGTCTTTTTGTCTTCATTCTTCACTGGAATTGCCTTTACTAGTAGTGTAAGGAATTGTTTTTACTAGCTGGTGTTAATGTTATCTCAACTCTTTATGGTTGGCTTTTTGTTTTTTTATTTTTCTCTTTTTATCTGTGAAGTGATTTAAAAAATTTTTGGAAACATTCTGTTGGTTAAAAAATGTACAATCAAAAAAATTCTTTTGCTGAAATTTTGTGTGATGGGAAAAAGGTGCATTCTGCAAACTGTGAAATGAACCAAATTTTTTTCTGCAGATGAAAATGGGTTGAGGGGGTTGGGTTGGTTAACATTTTATGAATTTTCTCTGTAATGTTGATAGCCGTATTAATGGTACCTCGGTAACTTCCTGATGAAAGCGGTTCGAAATCAGCTGGATTTATGGTTTAGAAAAAATTGTTGGTACTAATAGTTTAGTGTATTTTATAAGAGATCGCTTTTTGGCTCGAGTTTTAAAAATCTATTTTTTTATGGCTTCTCGACAAGAACAATAGAAGTGCAGTGACTGAGGTGTTGCTTTGCTACTCGTATTCCTACAGAACTTCCAGATAGGAATTTTGTAGTTGTAGAATTATGAGTGGATGCGTGCCTCCGCAGAGTTAGTTTCCATCGGACTTTATGCAACAACTAAGGCCATCTGTTAAGTCATGGTATTTTCTGACCGAAATATCACCAGCTATCGTCTGCTCTCGATTTCATTTCATCTCCGAATTAGATTTAGCAAAAGACACACTGCATAGAAAGTGGAAGAAATTTTTTGTATTCAAGGTAGTGCTATTTTTCATTGTTGTGCCCCGTTCACTGACACCTTCGCTTAATCGTCGACTTTCTCTGTACTGTTCTGTTTTTTCATAGTGATTCATTTCCAGAATCATACATATATATATTTCACATGATCGTGAATTTGGAAAAAATGTAAAAGTCGCGTAATGAAAAGATAAGGCTGATTGGTGAAATAGCCAGACGGAATCTGATCGCTATGTTATTTGCTTTCTTCATATTTTGATGATATCAGTCTTGTTATCAGGAGTTGTTGGTGACTGCCGAGAGTAGTCATATCTATCTACATAACGATAAATTATTATAAATTCTCTATTATTCCGTTGTTTCTTTCTTCCTGGCCCTCACGCTCACCTTTATTCATCATTGAATTTTCCATTCTTTTATCTTTTTAACTGGCTATAGGTCTTTTTTGTAATATGGATTGCCACCTTATCTTAGAAGTACTTGCATATAAGACTAATTTTCAGTATTCATTAAACGACAAAGCGTGTCCCTCTTCAGAGATTTAAGGGTCGCATTTGAAGGTAAGAGATCTGAAAATGATCGAAATGAACAATATATGTTTATATTCATTCCTTTATATTTATTATGATGCTTATTAACCTGCAAGATTGTTATCATAATTTACCATCTCCTTTCAAAAAATGTGCTAGATTCCGTCATTTGAATAAACTTATCTCTTTCGGATCTGCGTTACAATGTTTGCTTTGGACTATTCTCGTTGTTTCATGTTTTGCGACAAAAGCATTTTTCGTATGGTTGGTTATTTGATGTCCTGTGTATTTACTAAATGTTTTTCATCGGCTTCGGATCCTAGAAGACCAGGAAAAAAAACCTTAAGACTGAGTTTGTAACTTTTTTTTGGATTTGCTGATTTTATATATATATATATATATGAAAACGTCCGGCGAACCCCATTCTGCTAAAGAATTTCGAACTATTACCATGCACGATCTTGTACTTTTATCTTTTTTCTTCTGGAAACGTACTTCTAATTCTTTTTATCTTCCATTTAATTGCAAAAAAAAAATCTAAATTTGAAATAAACTGTGTATTTTTAGACTTTTAAAATTACTAAAGGAGAATATCTGAACTATTTTAATATGAGGTGTGAATGACTGAAGAACTCGGGAGCATTTTTTGTTTGGCAAATTGATTCTTTTCGAATTTTGATTTCAGTCATTCTTGTTCAGAGCAGATTGTCTTAAAAAAGTCAAATCATGTAAAAGTTATACATTTTTATAATGTACAACTTTTCAGGGATTGAAATTTTTTATGAATTAAGACAAAAATTCAATCGGCGAGGAAGTGGGCTCGTAACGGTGTTTATAGAGAAGTTGAAATGATCTTTGACACTTTCGTAGAGAAGGTCATTGACTCATTTGCTGAATCGATGTACACTTCTATAAATGCAACCCTCTTTTGATAATCTTTCATATTTTTTTTTAATCAAATTGGTTAGTCAGTTGATTTTAATGAGTTGTGTCTATACTGTTTGTTTTATCGATAAAGGACACCAAAATGGTGCCCATTTTTATACAAAGCTCAGCAATTTCTAAATTAAAAGAGGAATATTTTATTAGTAATGCTTATGTTTCGTTGCGAATTATGCATAAAAAGTGCTCCTTTTTATAAGCCAAAACGTGTGCAAACATTCAACATGGTGCTACGGCAGTAAGATCAGTGCATTTCGTGTATCCGTCTTTTAAGAGATAATTATTGTCATGCTATTAATTAGAATTTTAGTGGTAACATAACCTTAGGCCGTTAAAATTGCATTGCATATTTCGTAATCTTTATATCATAATGTTAGATGAAATTCTGTGCGCAAAGTTACAAAGGAGCTACTATCGATCATCCAAAACTGGTAAATTTTGTTAGAATTCGTTGAGTTTCTAAAATTATCAGTGTTTCACGGTCAATAGGGGTGAATGATGGGGTGAAGGGGTGTAGCTATAATTGATAACTGGAGATTGCGAAATTTATTGTTGACCTTTGATTTCTATTATCATTTGCAAAAAAATAAGAAAGCTTCATCAAATTTTCGGCAAGATAAAATTGTGAGACAATTTGAAATAACGTATAAATAGAAAGTACTCTCTTCACTAAGTCTGTGGTCTCACTAATGTAAGGCATGAACTTCCATCTTTCGTATTTTCACAAAACCTGTTTAGAAGAGAAGTTTTCTTCTACTCTTTTTTCTTATCTTATTATCGAAGTGAGGGTTTCTTTTTGAAAATATGTTTTTTCTTAATTTTTTATTCGTCTTCCCTAATGTTGATTATTAGTTTTGGGATTTGAATAGAAGAGTTTTCATTGCAAAATGAGAAGACGGAAATGTAGATGTTATTGAGCTCACGGTTCTTCATTGATCTTAGAGATGTTTCGAACCTTTTTTGACTCTTTATAGTAGGAATTATTATGTATTTGAATTAGTATGTTAGAAACTCAGTTTATCTTCCCCTAGAAACCTTTCTCAATAAATTGACATTTTTGCAAAAATATTTCATTCTTGTAGTACATTACTGACGGGGTTCTCATCGGTTATCAAAGTAGACTGTGATTTTTTTTCGGTAAAGATCAAAACACGAGGATAATTAGTATTACTTATCCATATTTTGGGACTCGATTCCTCCTTATTAGTTCGGGCTACACTTCAAATTATTTTTTCCTGGATCTTTTAGCTTTCTCTTTGTCTGACAATTATTGTTGAATATATAGCATCCACTCGCTTTCCAAATAATTCAAACTTCAGATTTATGAACTTTTTCTTTTGCAACAGGCTCGTTTATTGAAGCGAGTGTCCCAATTGAATTGATTTTGGATTCAAGGCTGAATGAGGTAGTTCATCAGAATCAGACAGAATTTAATTTAACGAAGCTCAATCAGGCCAGATGGCATTTGGAGACGGTAGTGATAAATTAGGTCAGATTACAGATAATCGATGTACTATGTTCAGGTGAATAAGAGTAAATGCAGTTGAAATAAAGTAGGTGGGACCTCTATGGTTACGATGGTCCTCCAAGTTTATTCATAGTTTACCTTTCAAAGTAAAGTTTTCGAAAATGAGATGCAACACCATTATCGAAGATGAGTTCGGTCAGTCTATAGGAGAATAGATTCCTGCAATCTTAAAAAAGTACATAAAATCAATAAATATCATTTTCTAAAATCCAAGAAGAAATTTTCTCTTCTGATCATACGATCATGCGATTGCAATCTGTAAAGAATATCAAAAGATAATGTGCTAAGATTATTCACCATATTCTGTAAGACACATTTATGTAAACAGACATACACACATCCATACAGTGCCTGCAGCAAATTTGTCACGATGGAACACCTGTCGTGATGACCAGTTTCGTTCCACATATGTCGTATTCCTTGGTCTCCTCTATCATACCCGGTCGTTGCATTCCTGGAAGGAGAAAATGGGAGAGGGAGGAGGTTATGGGGTCGTTATTATGTTGTTGCGCTTCGGTGGCCATACAACATGCTATGGAATGCTACCGTCGTGCTTTAGTAATATGTAGTTTTATTTTACATTCTGCCTTTGCCCTATTTTTTTAATGCACCTTTTTTTTTCTTTCCCATATATTTTCTGTTTCTTTCCAGAAAAGTGTTTTCTTAGCGATATTTTATTAGAAACATAAAGATGTTTGGGAACCGTAGCAAGGTGATAGTTTTTTAAATTTAAAGTCATTATTTGTTTTTTTAGGATGCCGACGCCGCCTTTGCTCACACATAACAACCGTGAGTTCGTAGACTTTGAAAAGTCAAATGAGGTGGATCAAAGAGCGGAAACGTTTGGGACAGTTGAGGCTTTTCTCAATAAATACGCGGATCCAAAATTAGCAGCACCCATTAGAACGGCATGTTAACTTGATTTGATACGCATAATGAAGTTTCAAGTTTGAAAATATGACAAACTATCCGATGAATTTTCGCATTCATTGGTTCTGATCTCTTTAAAAGAAGTAAAATGTAAAATATCTGGATATGGAAATCTTAACATACAGATTTCTTTAATTAACGGGAAATGGGTTCCATTCCAAATCATAAATGTGTATACATTACAGTTACTGATCGCCAATAATGGAATGGCAGCATTCAAATGTGTGATGTCCATCAGACGTTGGGCCCAAGAGACATTCAAGGATGATCGTCTCTTCAAATTTATTAACTTGACCACTGAACAGGAAATTTCTTCAAATCCAGGTAAAAGTGTTTGTCGTAATCCCGTGGAAATATAATGCCCTTATTTTAAGTGAGTTCAACAAAGTAGGGTGGAGTGAATAAGATGGATGTATAACTACTGTGCCTAGTTTCCTGTTTGAATTTTGATCTTGCCGACAATCTTGAATTTATTCTTTCAGAATATTTGAAAATGATTGACAATTTTGTATTCTCGGAATCTGGTGCAAATGAAAATAATTATGCAAATGTGGATGACATATTGAAACATGCTGTAAGTAATAACGTGGATGCGGTATGGGCAGGCTGGGGACATGCATCTGAAAATCCTGATCTACCAAATGGTTTGAAAAAGCATAACATCCTTTTTATGGGTCCACCTGGACCGGCAATGTTCACATTGGGTGACAAAATTGCTTCAACAATACTTGCTCAGGTAAAGTGTTAAATTGTGAATAATTTTGAATTTTTTAATGTTTTTTTTGTGTTTTTTCCCAAGGTTGGTTTATTTTTCCAAGTTTTGTTGAACTAGACCTTGAGAGATTTCAAAAATTTTTCAGTCAGCTGGTGTGCCAGTAGTGTCTTGGTCAGGCAGTAACATTTTTTTGTCTAAAGAAATTTGCGAACGAGGAATAATTGATTTCGAACTATCACCAGATCTTCGTGATGCCGCCTGCGTTTACGATCATGAGGAGGCAATACGTGTAATGAAGGTGTGCCATTTTTCATCAGGTTTAGGATTAGGTTCATTCAGTTTCTCTCTAGAAATATACACCTTCAATTTTTTGTGTATGAAGCTGCATAGCGGATTTTGAAACATGAGATATTGCAGAAGGAATGATGTTTAAATTAATTTTCATAATACAATTTATTTCTTATATATTGTTAGATTTCAGGAGAAGAAAATTGCATACCCTGTGATGATCAAGGCTTCGGAAGGTGGTGGTGGCAAAGGAATTCGTTTAGTGCGCAATGAATCTGATTTCGAAGTAAATTTTAGGAGAGTACAGGTGAGTTCTTTCTTCCATTTTGACGGCTTTTGAAGAAGTATTACATGGGTATTATTTGAAAGAAATTAAAGGTGTCGATTTATGGTTATGATCCATATTTTGAAGTAAAAATCATTTTACTTTAAAAACGGTCAATTTAGGCAGAGGTAGCCGGTGGACACATATTTTTGATGCATTGTTTGGAAGGTGCTCGACATATTGAAGTACAGCTTCTGGGTGATATGTACGGCGAGGTAATTGCACTGAGAACTCGTGATTGTACAGTTCAGAGGAGATGCCAGAAGATCATTGAAGAGGCACCAGCTATCGCTGCACCTTTAGCTGTTCAAAGAAATATGGAAGCAGTCAGTTTTTTTAAATATATTTTGACTCTTTTGATTTTCTTTTTATTTATAACTCTGTTGAATTTGCTTGATAGTGAAAGTTATTAAATAATCCTTTTTGTAGGATGCAGTACGTTTAGCTAAAATGGTTGGATATGTTAGTGCAGGCACTGTGGAGTACTTATTTCTTCCACAAACTAATGAGTATTTTTTCCTGGAACTTAATCCAAGATTGCAGGTAAATTTATGATACAGTGTATTTGTATAATCAATTGAACATTATTTTTCCTTAATTTTTGACAGTGTTTTGTTCAGTGCTTACTTGAAGCCACCACCTTCTTTTGAAATTGATTAATTATTTCAATGTGGTGTGGAGATGATGAAGATTTCCATGAAGCATTGGTTCTGAAGGATAGAAAATGTCGAAAATGAGTTCCGCTTAATATGGAAAAAAATTAGGCGGTCCCAATCATGGACAGCGCGCATAGTTGATGGGTTGGACAGAACAGTTTGATAGAGATATCTATAGAACCCGCCTTCGCCAGATTGGTGCTTTATACAGCTTTCTGTTACGGCAATAGTGCTAATAGTGCTGTGACGGAAACTAAGCCATCTCGGAAACTAAAAAGCGATAGTACATTTTAGGTTGAGCATCCATTAAGCGAAATGTTAACCAACGTCAATTTGCCAGCTGCACAATTACAAATTGCGATGGGAGTACCATTGCAATGCATCAGCGAAGTGCGTCTCTATTATGGCAAAAGCCGATATGGTACTGATAAAATACCATTCCATCTAGTAAGTAGTTTCACAAGTTTTTTTTTAAGACTTTCAGAGACAACAGCTCCGTCTTACCTGGTGACACTATCTTCTCTCTCTGATGTTTGAGTTCAATCGATGATAAAGTGTAATAATGGCTGTTGTTATTGAGCACTGTTTTTGTTCTCACATCTACACTCGAGATGCAAATCCATGACTTTTCAGATACATCCACATTGCGACAAGCATGTTGTATCCGTTCGGATCACAAGCGAAGATCCAGAAGAGAATTTCCGGCCTGCATCAGGTGAAATCACCAATTTGAATTTTCGTTCTACGCAGTTTGTTTGGGGATATTTTTCGCATGTTGGTGCGGGATCTCTTCACGAATTTGCAGATTCACAGTTTGGCCATCTCTTTGCCACTGGATCCACAAGGTTCTTGTCTTTTCGCTTATTTTTATTGTTTTCGCACCGCATAGCTCAACTGGACCTCAGCTACAAATTTGAGTTCCATATGTTTTTGGAGTGTTTAAAACTCACAAAAATATCATTTCGAGCAATTAAATCAAGGGATTCAGGTTAAGTTGACGACTGTTTGCTATTTATACTACCAAACATTCGCGAGTGTTTACAATCTATAATATCACACATACTCAGGAACTGCTACTTATTTATAGGCATTTAGCGATCTCGAACATGTTGAATGCGCTGCAGGAACTGCAGCTTCAATCGAAATTTCCTGTAACGCTACCCTATCTCATTTCTTTGTTCAAAGATAGCGAATTTGAGCAAAATAAAATCGATACCACTTGGCTGGATCGCCGCATTGCTTCAAAGAAGCATACAGTAACTTTTTGGTCTTTATAATTATTGCATTTTTTCTTTAATTCAAAAAGAAAATGTTATGGAATTGAGATCAAGAGTACTTGATTCTCCTTTAAACTTCAGCTTGCTATTTTCTATGACATTTCGAAAGTTTAAATTTATTTAAAAGTTATCTGCAGCTTGAAAAAATTTTTGTATTTTTATAGGTAGAGCTTCCTCCACTTCCAATGGCTGTAGCTTATGGTTCAATGTTGATAGCACATTCAAAAATTACGGAAGCATTCAGTGCCTTTAGCAATGCTATAAGCAGGGGACGTATTTTACAGCCGTCTGATCTTACTGAGACGCATCAAGTGGAGCTTATTTCTGACAATATTAAATACAGGTCTAGTTTCGCTTCAACACCAGTACGATTTCATATTATTATGCAAACGCATTGCCTTTTAAATGATTCTGCTAATATAGTTTTTATGATTTTTAGTGTTACTGCTACGCGTACATCAAATTTTGAATATATGATTAAAATGAATGGCCGTTGTGTTCCCGTTGAATATCGTGAATTGCGAAATGGTACCCTTCTGTTGAAATATAAAGACCGATCGCATCCGTGTTACATGGAAGAGGAACCTGAGCGTTACAAAGTGCACATTGGACGAATGCAGGTTAATATCTTAATTCATAGCAAATTAGGATCGGTGTGACTAAGATATGAATGTTATTCGTGCTTTAATATTTTTCAATCCTTTCACTGGCTGTTCTAGATTGGATTTTGCTTTTTTTACAGGACAAGTTTTATTGACAATATGCATTTGAATTTCAGATAATATTTGAAAAAGAAAACGATCCAACAGTATTGCGATCATCCTGCGCTGGTAAATTGCTAACTTATGAAACGGAAGACGGAGAACTGCTTTTGCCGGGTCAAATATATGCTAGTATGGAAAGTATGAAAGTTGTTTTGGATATGCGCGTGAAAAAGGTTTTAGTAATATATGAAAATCTTCCACTCTTAGATAGCGTTGCTTCTTAGTATATTTCGTATTTTAAATCTGAGTTTAAATTTATCGTAATTTTTCGATCCGAAAACATTTGTCGGGCATCACTGAATGCAAATCGTTTCTCTGGCAATTGGTTTCCTTTTCGACAAACTGCTGCTTCACACTGGGAGCATTTATCCCAGTGTTCTGGCTCCAAGGTGATTGGAAGTAGAATGTATATGTTATTTTCTAAATAGCTGTAAATAAATATGATCGCAATAGCCAGTAACTTTTTAGCAACGCCTTATTGGTTTATTTGGGAAATGCTTCCTGTCGTTCTTTAAACTGTTTAGTTGTTATGATGCTTATACCAAATAAGGTATGTATATCAGTTTCTCTAATAGATATATTAACAATAATGTTTACATATAAGCATTTCGATTATTCAGGTTGGAGGCCGTCTCGAAAAAGTTGCTCAACCTGGACAAATGCTGCATCCAGGGACCTTGGTTGCTCGTTTGGAAGCACAAAATGGTTTAACAGTTACCAAACCCATTGATTTTGAGGATTCATTCGCGGAATGGACACAAAGTGTCACTAAAAAATCTCCAATTAATATGTATTTTACAGATGTTGTTCAGGTGATTGCAAATTTTTGTCTAAAAGGAATATTTATTACACAGAAGAGGAAGTTCAAGTAAACGTGATTTAAAACATTTAAAACAGCTTGAGGAAAACTTTCTTTCACCACTCATTCAAATATTTCTAGGCTTTTTTTGTTGTTGTCATGCCTCATGTTAAAATAAGTACAGGAGCTAGGAAGTAGCTTTGAAATTATTGAATGGCTGGGTTAATTAACATAAATATTCATGAGTTGATCTTCCAAGATTATCTGATTTGTTAATTCATTTTTAGGAAGTACACAATGTCTTCGATGGTTATTGTAAAACAGAGCCAACGTTCTCGAAATATGCTGATAGTTTAGTAGAATCTCTTTTTTCTGTGCTCAACGACCAATCACTACCATATGAACAAATGCAGCAAAAACTTGCCGTTATGAAAAGTCGTATTAAGCCAAAAATACTAAATCAACTTAATGAATTTCTTGAAGTTCGTGTTGGTGATTTTCCAGTAAAGAAAATCCGGGAAGCTATCGAAGTTAGTAATTTGTTTTGATTCTTATGTTTTAATGCATTTATCTTCTGATACATAATTTATTAAAAGAATAGATGTTGGATCATGATAATTTCTCTGAGAACATTTTATAATTTCTCTGAGGACATGTCCCTAGAATGAAATTGACTTCTAGGATTACCTAAATGATTTGGATCCACAAAGAACGAAGGAAGAAAAGATGATTTTTGAGCCAATAACAAGAGTTTTGGCCAGGTTTGAGAATGGGACAGAAGGTCATATAGCTCTGGTTTTGGATGATCTTCTTGGACATTATTACAAAAGCGAAATATTCTTCCAGGAAGATCAGTACGACAAGTCTGTTACAAGACTTTTATCTCAGGTTAGCGTTTCACTCTCTCGTTAACTATTTACTTAAATTTTTGGTTATTTATCAAGTTATTGTTACAGGTCTGTGATACAGAACGGTGCGTCAGGCTAATTTGCTCACATACAAAGATTAATGAGAAGAATCTGTTGGCAATGAAAATTTTACGGCGCATTAGTAACTGTCGTCGCTTAATTTTACGGATATCACCTGTACTAGAAAAGATTGCCGGCTTTGTCAAAAGTGAAAATTTGGAGCTGGCGCATGCTGCAAGGACGCTACTGATTGAAGCGGAAACACCAACATACACTGAAATTAAGATCAGGGTACGTATTGTGCTTTTGTTTATCGTTCCTGTCGATCTGGGGTTTGCTTTTTTTGAATCATTAATGTTGAAGTTGCACTGAAAATTGTTTACATTCATTTTAGGGATCGTCACCAAGCCCAACTAATCTGGAAAAATACGATATACTGTTTGAAATGTTTGATAATAATTTCGATTCGGTATTGAAATACGTAACTGTATGTTGCGGTGTCCCTGAAGCTTCTATCAGACGACTGGAAGATGGGCATCCCCATGATGTACAATTTTCCATTCCAATACAGAAGATTGCGTAAGTTTTAACTTCTTTTATGAATGTATTAGTCTGATTAACAGTTCAATGGAAACACACGCAGAAGTCGTTCAAACCTGTACAGGTATTGTCATGTCTCTGTGAAACGATGAATTTTCGTTCCAGCCATGGACTGGGCCTTCCAAATGACGAAGTAATTGAAATAAGTGTAACGATGCGAGTTGTTGGTGATATAGCCGATATCGTTGAACGATTACCACACGTGGCTGCAAAGGTTGTAAAACCAGATTCAACCCTTTACATCGTTTCACAAACTGGAGCTGTAAGGTGTGATGCTAATTTGGATGAAAAATTCTCAGTGATCTTAAAGGTAATGGTTCTAGAATGTTTTCAGTTAGAATTCTTAGTTGCATTACTCATAATACTGAATAAAACAATCTTTCAACAAATAATTTTTCGTTTCCGCGAATTTTTAAATTATTTGATTATCTAAGTAGATAATATTAATATAGTTTCACAAAAATTGCTTATGAGCGTTTACTTTTCAGGAAGCTGTAAGCCGTGTACAGAATGAAAACATCCGCCAAATTGTGATTTTGATAGCATCATCGGATTCTTATCCGATGTTTTTCTATTATGATATGTTCCATAAAGAAGAAATTCGTTCACAACGCAATATTGATTTGGCTCATCTTCCTAAACTTGGTTTACATCGTATAAAGGAAAACTACAACGTTAGTTTTAGCAGACAACTTTGTCGAATTCGCAGTTCTATAATTTTATTTTTTGGACTATTTACACAACAGCGTGGTATTTTAGATTGAAAAATTGAAGTCATCGCATAATTCGGGTCATTTATATAAAGCAGAAGGGAAAGCAGATCCAACGGAACACCGGTTTTTTTATCGAGCTGTGGTTCGAATTGTTGACAGTTATACAGCTGAGTAGGTGTTTTGAATGAGAATAACTTTTTTCTATAATATGTCGACATTTTGGTTTTGTTTTAACGTTTGATTCAATAATGATTTTTTTTCATTAAATAATTCAGAGATAACGAACTTTGCAGTCATAATACTTTATTATGAAGTGCCTCGAGACTGTGAGCTTTTTTTATAATTTTTCAGAATACAGCTTTATATAGTGTCCTGTCACTAAGAAAGAGTTATTTTTATCTTGTTATGTCCTTCATTTATTGCATATTCATATAATTAAGGGAAGTGGCATGCAGTGTCATTAAAGCTCTAAAACGTGCATGCTGTGAAATTATGGTAGCCTTATATCGTTCAAATACAATTGACCGAAATCATGTTTTACTGTTTATTCATTGTACACCATCCAGCAAGGAAATACAGATGAGCCCGGCTGATTGGATCAATGTCATTTATAAGGCTTATCGAGAATGCAAAGTGAATTTTCAAAATATTCTTTTTGATGTAACTACTGCTTTTCATATATTTTTTACATGCAAGTAATACTGAAAATTTCATTTGATGATCAGGAAAATGTATTCATAACATTTATATTGGCTCACCCTTTTCAAATATTCTTTTTCCTCTCATTTGTGGAATTTAATTATTTTCAGGATTTTCTATGGAGAACACAAGTTAATCAAGTTGAATTTGACTTCATTTTGTTTGGTGAGCGGCAAAGCTTGGAACAAGCGACAAAAGTAATTATAACTGATGATACTGGTTTCACGCCATTCATCAGAGTTTTACGTGCAGAAGCGAGCAATGGTAATTCACGAATCAAAAAAGTTAGTAGTTTCTGTTTACTTACGACTGAAGATTTGTTAATTTTTTCTCTCCAGCGTATAATTTAAATGGCTGTAAATTACCCATTGAGTTAATTGACTGAAAAATTTAAATAATGTTAAATTCATGGCGGTACTGCCTAAAAAATCATAATGCTATCTAAAAAAGCGGTTTATATAAGCTTATTACCACTACACAATGTATAAATATAACCTAATTTGATTTCATTAGTTCGTTTAGTTTAGACTTTTACCATTCTTCTTCTCATTATAGCTGAAGAAGTACTAATGTTTTAGATGGAATGTATTGTGAATTTCAATTCAGTTTATTAAATAATTCTAGTGGCTTCACGTGGATGCCGGAATAGATGGTTTTAAACATGGCCTAGAAATTATGATCGACAACCGGCGAAATCCAGATTGGAATCCATTTACGGATCCGTACCTTGGCAGATCTGAAATTGATAAGCGACGCCTGAAAGCTCGCGTGCTGAAAACTACTTATGTTTACGACTATCCACTACTTTTCCAGCGTGCTGTAATTGCTACGTGGCTTGCACCGAGAGAGTTCGTTTTCCCCACAAATTATTAGAAGTTTTTTATCAAATTTTGTCATTTTTAAATTTAAATTCTTTAAATAAAACTTTTTTATATGTCGCAGCTCACGTTATCTGTCATATTAAGGTCGCGAAAATCGCTTGATTTGGTACGCGAGAATTTGTGCCAATTTCATGAACTGGTATATGACGAAGATTCAAAAAAACTCGTTGAACTTAATGAAACTGGTTCACTGAGTAAAATTGGAATAGTTGCATGGCGTGTGCGATTAATTGTTCCGGAGTACCTAGAAGGGCGGGAAGTGATCGTTATTGCAAATGATATTTCTCACCAGATTGGTTCATTTTCAATGTGTGAACATCGTCTGTACTATGAAGCCTCACGTTTAAGTCGAAAAGAAGGAATTCCACGAATATACATTGCTGCTAATTCGGGTGCAAGGATTGGCTTATCGGCTGATGTTAGTTGTTTATTCCAATCATTAATTTAGCGTAAACTAGAATAAAGCAGTGGAGGTTTTTTATCGTCTGTTAATTCCCTGTTGCTATTTGCTAGGGTGTAAAATATATTTGCAGTTGAAAAAACTTTTCAAAGTTATTTGGAAGAACGAAAACAATCCGGTGGAGGGTTTCGATGGACTTTATATTACCAATGAGGACGTACGTGATGTGCAGCAAATTGTCGCTACCCATCGTAGAAATGGTTTCCATCAGATTGATGGGATTATCGGCAAAGAGGTACACATTATGAGTAGGTAGATATATCTGTACATCAGTGTTTTCATATCATTTGCTTGTGCATTTAATTAATTTAATTTAATTTTATTTTGTGTTTTATTATAGGTGTTGCTAATTCGTTCTGTTTTGGAAAATTCTTTTATCGTAATGTATCATTTCTTTTTGAAATGCTTTAAGATTTAATTTCTGTAATTCAGCCTTTTGAATCTTTCTTTTCTTATATTATGTACGTTTGACTGATATGAATTTTGAGATTTGATAATGACAACTTAATATATGTGCACTTTTAGCGTGACCTTGGTGTAGAGAATCTGGTTGGCTCAGGGATGATTGCGGGTGAAACATCGCGAGCGTACAACGAAGTTATAACTTATTGTTTGGTAACTGGTCGAACCGTTGGTATCGGTGCGTATGTTGCCCGACTTTCGAGGAGGATTTGTCAAGTTGAAAATGCAGATATTATTTTAACTGGCGCACCTGCTTTGAATTCTGTACTTGGTCGTGAAGTTTATACATCAAATGGGCAGTTAGGTGGCACTGAAATAATGACTCGTAATGGTGTGACACATTCTACTGTTAGCAATGATTATGATGGCGTCCGCCAATTGCTAAGATGGCTCTCTTATACGCGTAAAAATGTGAAGGTTTGAATTTAAACTCATCAGCTGTATTATGTAATATGAGTGGTATATATATTTTATTAACAATAACAATATGTAGGTTTGTTTGCATGCATGCTCTAATACTTCCAAGTTCTTTCTCTTTTTATTAATGCATTTCACTAGTAGCATTTTAGCAAAGCAATAATTTCAGTACAATGAAATTCACCATTATTTGGTTATTTCAATTCATTTGCAGGCGCCGTTTAAAGAACCAAGTTTTGAGTGTAGTGAGGATCCAATTGATCGATATCTAAGTCATTTGCCATCACAGAATAAGGAAAGCGATCCACGTTTGATGATGACGATATTTGATCGGAACTCTTTCGAAGAAGTTTTTTTTTCTCGTTTGATTTTGCAAGATACATGAAATTGGCAGTTTTGCCTGCCGCAGTGCTAGTCGTTCCTTATTATTTAGATTTTGACTCAAAAATCTAACTATAAATTTCAACATTTCTAAACTTTAAGCAAGTTTTAGTTTTTGAAAAAAATATCATGTCATCTACAAGCTCCTGGCATCTTTGTTTTGAGTTGTAGCATGTGGTTATATGCTACAGCTGGAAACAAAGATGTCAGGATCTTCATATTTTTTATCTAATTTTGATTTTCTGAAGCAATCACTTTTTTAAGATTAAATCAGGCTGGGGAAAAACAGTAATCACAGGTCGAGCACGTCTAGGCGGTATCAGTGTTGGCGTTATTGCCGTGGAAACAAGAAGCGTTTTTGCTGAAATTCCGGCAGATCCGGCTGCTCCAGATTCTCAAGCCAAATGTATCCAACAAGCTGGCCAGGTGTGGTATCCTGATTCCGCATATAAAGTAAGCTTTATCGATTTTTGATCATAATTGCATTTGCGACTGGAATCAGAAATTTGTCGCTTTGATATATTTTCTGCAACTTCTCTGAACTTACATCTTTGTGAAATTCTTTTCGTTCGCTATTTAAAATTATGGGAGTTATAGACTGCTGAAGCGATCGAAGATTTCAATAAAGAATCTTTGCCTTTGTTTATTCTAGCCAATTGGCGTGGCTTCAGCGGCGGTCAGAAAGGTACTTGATTTTCGCATTTATGGAAAATATGCAAATTTCGAGACATGAATTTTTTTAGAAGTCTATTTTTAATATTCATTACATCGTCAAAAGTTTTGCAGTTTTCAAAAGTTTAAATATTGATTAAATTTTCAAGATATTTATTATAGATATGTTCGAAATGGTCCTCAAATTTGGTGCGTATATAGTTGATCAGTTATGTAAATACCTGAATCCGGTGATAGTTTATATTCCGCCCTATGGAGAATTACGCGGTGGGGCTTGGGCAGTTATTGATCCAACAATAAATCCTGTATGTATGCAGATGTTTGCTGATCCGAGGTCGAGAGGTGGTGTTCTAGAACCAGAAGGAACTGTTCAAGTGAAAATGCGTAAAGTTAGTGTTTAGTGTGGTGCATGATTTGTTTTTGGATTTCAAATATTAAATTCAGGAAAAAGTTTGAATGTTCCGTTCAGGTAACAGCAGTGATCGAAAAACTTTTGTTGCATTGTTTGTGTGCAAGAGTTGGTTTGTTTTTGCCTAATCGCAACTGGATCTTTTTTTCAAAAAGTATGGTGGGAGAAACAGAGAGAATATTAGAAGTATAAAATTCTAGTTTGGAGGATGTTACTGGTTTTTCAAGGATAAACTTCCAGTGAATGGTGTTTGATACTGTTTTGTTAATGAACACAAACTTGAAGGATTTGGTGCCATTGATGCGACGACTAGATAAAGAAATGATTCGACTAGGAGTATTGGAAAAACAAGGTAACGATGTGAAAATGGACATCAGTGCTCGTATTCAATTATTAATGCCAACTTATCGCAATATCGCAATATCATTTGCTGATTTGCATGACACAACGGTCCGAATGAAAGCTGTTGGTGCCATTAGGGTATTCTTTTCATTTAGAAACGGAGGAATCGTAACTTTTGTCATCTGTTACGTTAAAAACTGTGCTAGTATTTCTACTTCTCAGTTTGTCCAAAATACTTGTTTACTATTTTTTAAAATGATATCTACCGGTTTTATGATTTTCATTTAGAATCTTTCAAAACTTTTATCGTATATTTTCTTTTATACAATTAAAAATATAAAATTTTAGAGTTATTTGAAAATTTTTTTTTAAGCTGCTGATTTCTTTAGAAAGAAGGACATTTCAGGAAGTGGTGAAATGGGAAGAATCAAGAGCATTTTTTACGCGGCGCCTTTTGAGATTGTGCATCGAACAGGATATATATAGGGAGGTTAGAAGTGCATTCAAATCATATTCAGAAAATTAGGAAGCATAGATTGACGAACTAATTTCGTTTGTAGGCTATGGATGTGAAATGTGTGGAAGACATTCGGAAAATGCAGGAATCCTTACAACAATATTTTGCAAAAACTCAAGATGAGGCTTTCTGTTGGTGTAGTTACCCAGATGAAGATGCCATAGAACTTCTCCGTAAGGAAAGAAAACAAATTGTTACATTCCTTGCTAGAAATGATTTCTTCACACTTGGAGAGCGTTATGGAATGTAAGTTTGTCTGAATCTAAGATATAAATATTTTAACGTAGAAAATTGAAAAACTGTAGGTCAAATTTAATTATTTTGAAAGAAACTTCCATTTCTCTCAAAATAATTTTTAGTTTAGTTAGAAATGATTTTTGCAATGGGATAGTCGCGGAGAATAAAAACAGCCTCTGAGAACTTAATATTTTTAATCAGTAATGAAATAATTCATTCACAGACCTTCGGAGAAACTTGGAGATTTCGCAAAAAAGTGTGATTTATTAATACGGGAAATGAAGAACGAAAGGTTGTGATCGCTTACAAACTAGCTCTTTATTTCAGCGTTCTTTGAACAAATTACATTAAATGTGTTTATATGAACAACTGATGTATCCTCTTTTTGTTAAAAATTAATCTATGTGTTGTTTTCGTGGTTAGAGAATGATTATTAAATGGATTTGGAAAAGTCATTTGTAATGAGTGGAGTTTTTTCACTTATGAAGCACTTTTCGTTTCGGTGCGGTAGACTCTTCCTCTAAAATGTTTTGTTAAAGTGTACTCATTACCCGAAAAATATCTTATTACTTACTGCATCGTAATTGAAAATGTTGCTTGTGGATAGTATAGTTTTTTTTAGCTTCTGAGTCTAGGCAGTTTCTGGAGTGTTTACATTGTCAGTGATGCATCTTTGCGTGAAGCGCTGCGAAGGATGTGTTACTTCTTCACGTTTACAAAAACTTGCCTTTGCCTGCATTGTTGTTTTGCAAAAAATTCTGCAGGGGCACTTGCTAGCTGCACAAGTTGTTACTCGCTTGCTTTGTTATCACTTTTGTCATTAGATCTTACCTGTTTTGATAAGCGAAACAGCTAGTCAGTTTCTTTTTTATTCTGTGACTTCAGTTGTACATATTTCCCCTTTAAATCTTAACTTTAAAATATATCAGGTTTACAGTGCCCGTGCCAATATAAATTTATCTTACAGGAGAAATAAAAAGAATTTGCTAGCAAACCGAACTAGACTCTTTATTTTTCCATGTAAATATTGTAATCTTGGAAAAGTGAAACAGTACGAAGAGAACGTGTTCGGGATTACAATGCGTTCTTTGCCGAAAAACTGAGGTTGTTGCGTCCGAAATCACTAGAAGTTTTGAAGTTCCAACGACATATTTGTCTCGAGTTTTAAATAGTGTTGATTTTAATTTGAAAAGTGACGCTATTTCTGGTCCTGAACAGTGAGAAATGAGATCGGTGGGCAATGTCGGGCTGGATTATGTTATCTGAAAGGTTGCGCTCGGATCAATATGAATTAGTTGGTTTATGCTAGCTGACTTCGTTGTTGCGGTATTATCCCTTATAAACTAGATGGGAAATACGTATATATATATGGGGTGTAAGCTAGTGGTCATTGGTCATACATAAAAGTTTTTGTCCCTTTCAAAATGTAAGTATCATGGAAATGATGGAAATGGTGGTTTTCCGATTAAGTTACATTTTCCCTCGTAACTTGAAAAAATATGTCTAGACATGAATAACTGTGGCTTATCATAGGCCTAAAAGTGCATATTAGTTATATATGCACACTTCCGTACTATCTATTTGAACAGCACAATTCATAAAACAAGTTTACAGTCGCAACAGCAGTTTCATTATTTAGGCTTAGCAAGGGTGGTCTATGTACGCTAAAAGGGTCGCATAAACGAGCAAACCTAAACTTACGATGATTAGGTCTGTTCATAGCATCATAGCATCCTTAGTTTTACGACATCAAATGATATATATATATATATATAGGAATTCTTGTCGAAATTCGAAATTCTTGTCGAAAATCATCTCATACCGTTTTGGTCTTGAAGTCATTTGAAATCTAGAAAGGTTTGTAACGAATATCTCCTCATCGTTTTTTGATCAAGACTGAATTGTTCCAAAATTTCTGTGAGTGGTTAGTTTGGAGAAATTGTCGGGAATTGTCTAGAAAATTGGCCAGATCAAACAAATCTAAAGCAAAAATTCTCGAACTTCGTGAGTCCGATTTGCTTGCAGAAGTAATTTTGGATCATTTACAGTAAGCGGCAGATTGCAGTTTGCCAAAAAAGAAGTTGCAAGGCGAAAGAGATTTAAAATGGGTAAGGAACGAAATACCAACTGATTACTCCAGATTATGCATTATTTGTATAGAGAATTCTGTATTTTCTGGACAATTCTTTGACTATAAATAAGTTATTGCAAATCTCCTTTTTGGAAACTTTTAATTAAAGTTGAATTCACTTTATTGATTGTAATCTAATTTAACTTAATAAGTTGTTTGCATTTTCTCCTGTATTCTTGAAATGTACAAACCATTGTAATTGCAGAATCTGAACAGATAGATAAAAAAGAAGAAAAATATCTCGATGAGTCATCATTTGCAGCAGTTCGTATTAGTGGCGCACCATTTGTATACCGTCCATCAGAGCTCCTGATTAATGGACCACCACTTCCAAAGCCTGAAGATCTGTCTCGAATGGGATATTTGCAGCATATGGCACAGACCAATGCGGAAGGATGTCCCGATCGTTCTACACCAGAAACATGCTGCATGCGTGCTTTATTTGACTCTCGAATTGATTTGTTTTTACTTTAAAAGTTTGGCTTACGTGAACTATTAACAGTGTGTGATGAAGGGAAGACTAATTTGACCAGTGATTTTTTTTCAGTTTTTATAGACTTTATAGTACATAGCTGTGAAGTATTCTTCATTTATTTTTGATATGATTTTTATTTATGTAGACTATCTGAATAGAGGTTGTGCTTAAATTGTTTGCTGCATTACTTTTATTGATTGTTTCAGGCACCCTTTCTGTCAATTATGAGCTCATTATGTTTGGGTCATTTTATGTCCATCACTTTTTGAAATTTTGCAATGTTTTTTGAGATGATTGATTTTTGTGCCAGTAAAGTGACCTCCTCTATGATTAAAAATAGAGAGTTTCAAAAATGCAAGTCATTATTATCAGTGCTGTTATTATTATCGTTATTATGTTTATCTTGATGAACTCAGTGTCTTACCTAAAATATTTCTTTTTTCTGCCCTCAATGTGAACAATTCCCTCAAACCTCTCAACACTCGGTTTTACTCCCATTGTATGTTTGTCTGTCCAGTTTTGGTATTTCAGCAATTTTCTTAGACTACGATGCTTTCAGATTGTAAAATTTTGGGCTTAAAATTAGCTAGTTTATGCCGATATCATGTGAAATATTCAACACTCATGGAAAGTTAATAAACTTTCAACAGTTCGATTACCTAAGCTCCGCGAGAGCGCATTATCATCCTAAATAGTTCGAAACCATATAAGTTGGCTACGAGTTTTTAAAATATATTCCCGTAAAAAGTTGAAAATAAGGATTTGACAAAAAAAATTTACCCAATCACACATACCTTATCAAAGGAAACAATTTGAATTTTTTAAATCATAATTATCAACAATATTACAGACCATATACTACTAAAAGAGTCATTAACTATAAATGAGCAAAACCAAATTACGTCATGATAATCGGGTCTATTATCCATACCATCCTTGATTTTATGACATAAAATGATATGCGAGGATATTTTCTTATATCGTTTTGATCCTGAAGTAATTTGAAACCTTCTAAAAAAGCTTGTTACGAGCGTATCTTTTCATCGTTCATTAGAAATCAGAAAACAAGTCGATTCCAGCTATTAAAAATTTATTTTTCGAAAGAATTTGATATATCTGCAAATGACAGGAAAAACAATGCTGAAAAAGGAATAAATCTTGTTTCCATATTTAACATAAAATAAACAGTGTTTGACGATATGAACTTAGCTTAGGAATGTGACATTAAATTACTATAGAAGTAGATATGAGTTTATGAAAACATCGCTTAAAGTTTAAGAGGCAGTTTTGGGGCAAAGTCAAACTTGATTGCTTAATTATATTTTAAGGTATAATAGAAATGTAGATAATGAAATAATCAAAGCATCTGAGAGTGACCTTTCTCAACAAAACAGTCATTTTTCCGAAAAGACATTATATCAGAGTTAACGATTTCCTGAAACTTTTGGATAACTTATCTTCACATATGCGTGTATACACCTTCGGGTTGAATTTTTATATCGTCTGCTATCCAATAAAAAAAATTTTTCACACGGCCTACCACTTACCAAAATTGAAAATGATAACTGATACTGAAATATGTCGAATAATCTTTTTCTTTCATACTAAAATACAGCCAAAGGTAGGTGTGACAATCTTTTAAACTAAATTCTGAATATGAGCTTATTTACAAAGAATTGAATAAACTTATAGAAATAGGTGATGCAGGAGTATACTGAGGAGAGAATAACCTTCAGATTTAATGCAGTTCATATGCATCTTGAGTTTCATGTATTTTTCAATGCACTGATAAGCTTCACGCTACAAATGATAAGTTCCGCTGGTCATCGTCCTCTCACCAGTACAAACGACACCTTAATGAAAGGGGAAAAATAAATCCCTTTCCCAAATAAAAACCTTGCTTAAATCTCCAACAATCGCTCCATTTAAATTAAACCAAATAGTGCTGCTTTAGATATCATTTCTCTCAAAATGCGATTCATGGTACTGTAGTTTTAGTTTGGCACTGTGCCGACCTCACTTTTTTACTGATGGAGGATTGGTTTAAGCGGCAATTAATTTTTCTGTACTTGGGGGGTTGGATTCCAATTCTTAATTTAGTATGTTTCCAGAGAGTTTTTATGATTTGTTTATGGACTTTATCAGCAAGCTAAGTGCACTCCATGCGGACAGAATGTCAAATTTTCGCTTCATTAGTTACCGAAATTTGGAGATTGTTAGTGCGAACTTGAAATTCACTTATAAATCATAAAGGACAGAGATAAACTACTGAACTTGACGAACCTTAAATTCTTATTCTTTCTATTTAAATCATCATTTCACCGTGGAATCTTCACTGACCAAGCTTATAGTATAATATATGACATCGACTTTATAAAGTAGTGTACATGTTTTAGTGGAAAATTAAATGGTATCTGGGCATAGTGATGGTATACCTGCATCACGACGCCTTACCCTGCCACAGTCGACATATGATAAATCACGCAAACCACACACGCTGCGTTCCGGTGTTGATACAAAATCTGTTCATTTTGATTGGATTAGTAAGGAGTTAGAATGTGGCATCTGCGAAAAGACGATTCAAAATACGATGGTTGTGAGGGTGAGAACAGATACTTTTGAATAAATGCAGAATAATTTTTCGCTTTTTTGCTTGCCATCCAAAGTAAATTCAGTATCCCATTGATGCCTCCCCTCATTTATTTTGGAAAGTTTCATTTATTTTCCGTAATTATGAGAGATGACGATGAATTAATATAGTCTTTCATTCTAGAATTGTATGCACCGCTTTTGTGCGGATTGTATATTGCAAAGAATACATACGGGAGCAAGGAAGTGTCCCTCATGTCATAAAGTTCTACCGAAAAAGACACCACTAAAGAGCGATGCAAATTTCGATGCTATTATCAATAAGGTACTTCTTATAACTAAAGTTGGCGTTTCTTGGATTTTTTCACTTTTTTGTTTTTTGAAAAATTCATAGTCACTACGCAGGGTGCCGGTACATTCTCTCGCCTTTTTTTCATCTCGAACGGGCTGGGTGCAAAGCGGAGAAACTGATGTTTAAGATGTGGTGCTTATATCAAGCTGTTCATTTCAAATAGCTATCACTTCAGTTCACACTATCAGTCGAAAGGAGATGTGTGAAACGTCCAATCACTGAGTCAAGTAATTTATGTAAGTTGTTATATTTTATGAGTGTTAAGTGTTAATGAGATGGGAAAACTTTTCATTGAAGTAAAGGATGCATATCTTTTGATGTAGCTATATGGGAATAATTGTCAGGCGAGGATATTTATCGAAATTCGCAGAATCTAGAATTTTTTACGTAGGTTCATAAGAGTTATCATCCATCGTGCAGGTTTCACCAAGAAGAGAGTGTTTGATAAGAAATCACCTATCAAACGTTTGACAAATTCGAACCCAATAGCTCCGTCATCTTCATCCGGACGGACACCGCCGAAGAATACTAAAGTGTCGGTGAAGGTTGTGCATTTTATTTTAAACTTGCTGAATTTTTTAAACTTTTTTTTGTTCTTATAGAAAGTTATTGTGACAGTGCTTTTACTCTTACAATCTTGCTTATTTCAAATGATGTGCAGATGAGTGGAAAAATATATTTTAGATAGAAGGCAGCACTAAAGTGAATAGTACTGTTTTTAAACGTTTTAGTACGATTCGATGACAGATTTAACATCAAGCACACCTTTGGAAATAAAGCCACCGTTGTTGCCCAGCACGCATTCGGATGGGTCTGATCCCCCGCTTACGATTGATGAAGGATCTTCAGACGGTTACTTTCTTGCTTGTTAAATTAATTGATTGGTGGATAAGGTTTAAGCATTTCTGGTGGATTACAAGTGTGCATACTTGACACCATTCTTTATTTACAATTGGTTTTGCTTCAGATGCTTATCCCAATCTCCAGCAACCAACAACATCATTATCTGCAAAAAGTGAAAACAGATCAAATGCTAATGATGCAGGTGAAAAAAAAATAAAAGTAAGTTTTTAACAACAATCGTTTTTCTTCCATCTATACCTTTCAAGAAATTTAATCTATAAAAGCGAGATACTCTTCAAAAGTTCATTTCTCTAGAAAGCAATTTATTGGATCCAACGAACAATAGAATTGTCTTTTATTTAAGATTCCTGTAAAATGTCTAAGTGTATTTTTTGCATACTTTTTTTTTTTGCATTTTTTGCATTTTTGCATACTATTTTCCTAGAGAGTATATGAACCCGTTTCATTTAAATTATTTGCAGTCCTGTCGGTTGGTATCAAATCACTGTGAAGTAACTCCAATCGTTGTTTTGCAGAAATCTAGCAGTCATGGCATGTTTTTTATTTCTTCTTCAAAACCTGTAATAAAAATATTAAATTTCTATTTATAAAATTTGGAAATTAATTGTCAGTCTTCTCCGTCAGTATCAAAATAGTACTTGCAGAACGACTTAATGGAATGGCTGTAAAGAATGTTCAGCTTAATGGTAAAAACGAGCGTTCTTCAAAATGCTTGAACGTATATCCAAGTCTTGGTCCATCTGCACACACTGCATTAAATCAAATCGATCCAAGTGTAAATGTATGACTTAGAGGCCCGTTGTGTTTTATATGCGATGTGTCATTATGTCTAGTGCATGCATATTTTACGCGTGCAGTCATTTTCTAATACTCGTACTTTTTTCAGCTTTCAGCTACTGCTTCAATTTCTGGAATTTCAAACGGAAGTTTGTTTCATGTCAATGGAAATAGTTAGTACTCTTTCGATATGAATAATTCACAAATTATTAGTAAGAAGTATTCCTATTTTTCCTTTCTTCGTAATGAAAATATGAAAGGAAAATACAAGGTGAAGTTTCCTTGTGGTTATTATCTAGTGGGTTGGTCAGCAGTTTTATGGTTGCCAATAAATATCTGGAAACTGTGTGTTGTATAAGAAAGTGTATTTGGGATAATTTTATTATGGTTGAAAAAAGAGTTTGTTCTATCTTCATTCATCTTTTTTTTTGCATGATGCGAAAAATTTCATGGAATTAAACTCACAGACGATTTCCATAAAATGTTTTTGCAGTCAAAAAAGCAATGAATCCCAAAGTGGGTGATGGGCCGTTGTTAACGCCATCTTTAGGAAGCGGTGTTCCGACGGAAGATGTAGTTATGGTATCACCACGTTCTTCTGAATATTTGTTGATGTCAGGAAAGCAACGATTATCATCGGGGATAGAATCAGAGCTTATTCTTAATCCTGATGCGAGTGTAGTGAATGATGACTCACTACCTGTTGCTGCTAAACATTTACGATATATTGTCACCTGTCCAACAACTACAGGTTTCTATGATGTATTTTGATCACTATCATCAAGCAGTAGTATTTTACAGTTTTAGAATAATAGTAATAATGTGTGATGTATTAATTGGTATTTCACATCAACTGGAACATATGACGAAATTTTGTAGTTTGTTTTTATAATTGGACTAAAATATAGGTAGCATTGAGTCATGAAAAACTCTATTAATTTTGCTTTAAAACGCGCTAGCAATTATTGAAACATTTACGACTTGCAGTTGGTCATTTATGTGAATACATACTGCAACGAATCAGAGTCGAGTCACGCACTGAGTGGGGTAGAAAGCGTACCGATAATTGTCTCCCAAAGGTATTTCTTCCATTTATTATTTATTTTAATCCAATAAAAAACTCCAAATTCTGAAAGTGAGATCGAAATAAAGGATTCAATTACAGTACGCTGATGTAAAGTATTTTTTTGACCATTTTCACTAGCCTTTTTTTGCAGCGTGTTCTCCTTTGTCCGGTAAAGTCTGATCTGGCTCTGGATGATGTGCTAGTAGTAAATGAAACGGGCGAGGGCCAATTTACTACTATAAATGTTGGTGAACGGAACAGTGACCCGAAATCAGCTTCAATTTTTACCATTAATTCACCATTCAGCGGCAAGTTCACTAAAATTTCTCTTAATTTCGGTGTCATACTTCGATCTAAAGATGTATACCCTCATCGGTTTATCTACCTACTTAAATGTGAAAGTGATAAGTATTTGGAAATGTGTGCGCATAACGTCATAGATGTTAGACTTATTCTGCGGATAAGTATATGCTGCATCTGATTGAATTTTCGTTATTACATAGGTACTTGAATTTGAACTTCTTTTCCACTATTTATGCGCTGATGCATTTATTTTCTTGGCATCGAATATGAACAAATTGATTTTTTAAATTTTAAGTGCTCAGCTATGAAAGGATTGATTCACTTTAAAAATTTGTTACAGTTAGGAATTATTCTACAGTTTCGAGATAACGGAGTGTTTTTTTTTCAGCCTTGGATGAATCGATAACAATTGAACAGCTGAAAGCGGAGTATTGGGCGAATAGGAAAAGACCACTGAAACTTATTTTTAAATTCATTGGGAAGTCGTAGCAAAACTTATTGAATGTTTTTTTTTTCTTACCTTTATATCAGCGGTTCAGATATTTCAAACAAGCGCAGGACATATGCTGGAGAACCATACTAGGCCTCTCTTCCATATATATATATATATATATATATATAGACAAAAATTTCTGTTATTGAAGTTGAAATACACCATTATATGCCTTGTCTAATTCAATATTCATTTGTAAGAGAACCGCTGCCATTGGCTAAATCGCTAACATTCTGGTCCGCAGTCCGAAACCGTGAAATTTTCTAAAATGCGGTGAAATAGTCGTTATTTTTTAAAATCAGAAATTTGGTCTCATTGATTACTCTTTTTGGTGATATTGCATATTCAACCTTCCTTTCGAATTTCGTTCAATTACTTTAGCAGTTTTAGTTGACAGGGTAGTTATAAGCACTTGTTAAAATCATTACATGTATCTTATTGTGTCTGATGCACGTAGCATGTAGCTTATGTTGTGTTCGGCTTTTCTTCAGCACTTGTGATACTTCACGCCATCCTAGCAACAGAACCATGGAGAGAGAGAGCCAACTTAGGAAGTTTGGCGATCTGATTTATTTACGTATTGTTTTGAAAAGCAGATTCCTTCGTAACTGAATATGCATTCTGCGGTTTATACGATGGTTTTAGTTTTGAAGAAAACCAGAGCGCAGGCTACATCACAGTGGCCACTTAAAATTACTACGTGTAAAATTAGATTGAAGTCGTCAAGAAGCTAGGTTTGGCACCTTATTAACTCAGGTATCTGTACACAAATTTAGTTCCAGGAGTACCTGTGTTGTTATGTCTTCCCGTATTTGGATTACTGTTATCGTTTACTTTAAAAATAAATTACGCATGTCGTCGAGTTACTGGCTTTTGAAGCAGGTGTGTAGTTCTACACAACACAACTTGCTAGTTTGACGTCCCGAAGCAAAAAAATTTGTGCTTGTATCGATCCATATTCGGTGATTCGAAGAATCCCTGAAGACCCACTTGACGGCACTCTTCGAAAATGAACTGCTTACGAATAATGTTGAACATTTGTAATTACTCCCGTTACTTGCGGACGTTCTTGTTGTCGGTACATTAATTCGAAATAGAAATTCCAGTAGGTTAATGTGGAGCGCTTAAAATGTCAGCTCCCGTGGAGCGGAAGTAATGCAAAAGATCCGGGGATAGTATTATAGGGAACTCTTCAGTCACAAGAATTTTGCATAGTCAAGACGTTGCGGAGATGAGGACACAAGAGTCACGAATCACATTCACGCCACAGCGGATTCCCCTCTGCAGCCACATGAATGTGTAGCCTCTAAATTTTGCCGACATCCTGAGAATCCTCTCCCCTTCATTTGTTTAGCCTGTTTAGTTAGAGATTCTGAAGTCCCCCCGTTTATGTTGTTTTCCGAAATATGAACACTGCATTTTCCATTTATATTTACCGAAATGAATCAACGCTCCTAAGTCAAGTAACTCTGACTCTGATTTATGGTCTACAGTCGAACATCCTTCATTAGGATTGTAGCCTAAGCGATTGTGCCAATATCTTATTTTCAAAAATCCAAATATAAAATAGTTATAATTATCCACTATGCATTAAAAAAAAATGTTCCTCCATCACTGATTGAAAAACGTTAATAGAAAAAAATGGCAGTATGACAATAGTTCCGGTAACTGAGGTCAATCACAAAAAAGTTTAGACTACGGTGCAAATAAAATCTTAAGAATGCATCACATCCAATAAACAGTGCACTGAGTTGACGTATCCCGAATAAGCCACGAGACACTAACATAAAGAGATCTAGTTTAATTCTGAAGTAATCATAGACCAAAATTTTCTGTCAAAGTATTGCAATATTGATTTTTCCCAAGCGAAATAGGGAGACATAGATTTTATCATCCAAAATTCCGCATAAACACAAAAGAGGGCTCATTTGTACGGTTGTCAAATAAGGAGTCTGCTCGATACTGAGTACTACGTCAACGAAATAGTAAGAACACAGGAAAAAAGAAGTCGAGTCCAAACAAATTATGTCTTATATGACCAACTGCCTTGGAATTCAATTTCAAACGCACATACTACTGGAGATAACTAATATTTTCCCAACGATTAAATGAAATCAATAATTATGAAAAGGTACAGGATCTCGAGAATTTTGACTTACTGAAATACTTATATAGTGATGGCAAGAAATATACAGTTGTCTCAAACGGCAGTTCCTCCACTGATACAAATACTTACGCCGGTACAAGAAATGGCTACAGGAAATTAAAGTCAAAAAATTTGATTTAGTAGACAGAAATACGAGTAATAAATGGGGTGTACAATTTATTCCATCTCGACATGGGTACTTAAGCTCGCTCTCCACGGATTCGACGTGCAAGCTGAATATCCTTCGGCATGATGGTAACACGCTTAGCATGGATTGCGCACAAGTTTGTGTCTTCAAAAAGTCCCACCAAATAAGCTTCACTTGCTTCCTATAAATTGACTTAAATCCGTGATAACAGAATAATTCTCGCATTAGAATTGGAACTAGCAAACAATGACGCAATAGTATGTGTATCTTCGTAAAATAACTGTTAAAAGTCAAGAAAATACAATAAAAATATTACCTGAAGCGCACCAATCGCAGCCGACTGGAATCGGAGATCGGTTTTAAAGTCCTGAGCGATTTCACGCACTAAGCGCTGGAACGGCAATTTGCGAATGAGCAGCTCAGTGGACTTTTGGTAACGACGAATCTCACGAAGTGCAACCGTGCCGGGGCGGTAACGATGGGGCTTTTTCACACCACCAGTCGACGGTGCTGATTTACGAGCTGCCTGAACAACAGTGATCTTTTCCTTTTTAGCTAAATGAGGTTTCTATCCCAGGTTTACACACCTAGGCATTATATAAATTTCAATCCTAAATACTTGATAGGGAATTTTAGACCACGTCGAACAGTCGACTACCGCACAACAAGATTTTTAAAAAGTAATGATCGGTAGAATAAAATTTTAGTGATTCCAACTTTTCTACAGAAAAATTTTTTTACCGAATCAACCGTAATACTTGAAAGCACATATGAGGCAAAGTTGTTGGCCCTATAGTCCTCAATTCATATATTATTAATATTTAACCACTACTGATAATCCCACCATGACCGTACAGCGAAATGAGTTTAAGAATTGTAGTATTATCGGGCCAACCAAGAGATTTGAAGTGGAGTTTTGTATAAAATACAGCAAGACGACAGAAAGGCATGAAGCAGTCTGCAGTACTCATGTTTGGGTCCTTTAGTGCTAACAAGGAAACCTTAGTAGCAAGTTGTTTCCGGGGAGCTTTACCACCAGTCGATTTACGAGCTGTTTGCTTTGTACGTGCCATCGTCTCGAATATTCTTTGCGATCAGTCGAAAACTTTGCAAATTAAATGAAATTTTGCGCCGAAAATTTCTCCAAGACCAATCTCTAAAACTTGTAAATACTATGTTTATGAATTCCATTTTCATTTAATTTTGCAAAAATTAAAACCAATGAGCTTCAGCTGCATCAGTATAGATAACGATGCAAGAAGAGAAACAAATCGTTTGTAAAAAAATTAGTCAATTATGATGATTAATGCTGAAGGAATAAACCATCCTATCCATTAGTCCTCCCATGATGCCAAAACACTCTTGCGTAGTTTATCTCTACTTCCTTAAACCTAGAATTAGCTTATCCTATCGCGGTAAAAGGATATGAAGTGAGAGAAAATAGTAGGAGAGTCTTCTGAGACGATGACGAAACCTGTAAGATATTTTGTGAGAGGAGACAACAGATAGAAACAAATTGTTAGTACGAAATGACCAGAACACTATCTCGATACATTTTACAGCTACTCACTTCAAGCGTCACTACACATACATCAAATACTCACTAAAGATCAATGATCACATAATAAGAGATGAGATATATCTTCAAGCTGACCGCGCGGCGGACTGTTCACTCGTAGGCACTCCCATCCTACACATCGTTATTGAAAATAGACACTCCCATCCTTTATTAAAAACCGATAATTGGCAAAGTGCCAGAGAATTGCAGCTTTCCCTATCGAAACCGCAGGAATAATTTCTCTCACGAGAAGTGGTGCAAAAGTATGCAGGAACAGTAAATATCGGGGAGGAATGCTACTCAACCGAATTAATCCGTCCGGAATACTCAGCGTAGCGCACAAAACGATGACTCAACTTCTATCTTGAAAAGTGCCTTTCTGAAGGTCAAAAGTTGGGACAACAATATGGCGTGGGCTACACTCCTCTCACCCCACCTTTTTCTGAATGACAAAACCGCTATGACACAAAACACTCAGTATCTGAACATCTCAGGAGTCTGCAAAATCATCAGTTCCCACCCCTTCCTCTTTCCCGTCTCATGCTACTTCAGGCTCCCACTGCAAGTAAACCCAGGCGCTCAGCAACAGCTTACAAACGATCAATGGTGAGGCCGCTAGTCACGTCGGCAATATGAGCGCCGCACATCGCAACAGTCCGCCCAATGCATCGTGTATGCGTCCGTATGTGCTTATGTCTATGTGTAATGTACGTGTTTCGATATATGCGCAATGTTTAAAATCAGGCAGGTGGTCTCGGCCGCCTTTATCTTTTCGTTAATGGTATCATGCAGGTATGTGATGCGAGAACATTTGAATCGTATATTCTGCTGACGTGACAGCCAGTTTCTGAGCTAACATTCAGCTCACATACGTCTCCATCCCTAATATTCAGAAAAAGTAGCAAATATAGCTCATTCTCACGCCACGTCTACAGGCGATATCTCGTCCACTCAGTGCGTAGCACGAGATCCGATTCGTGCATCTGTGCGAAACAGTGCCTTATTGCCAAATATCCAGCGGCCTCTTATGAGCGAGGAAGAAATGTGCATGCGCGGAGAGGAGAAAGCGTTACTATGCATTCCTTTACATTGAAGCTAATCATGTAAAACTATTCCACATTTACTTAGTTTTGAGGACACAGTAAATTCAAGTATATATATATCTTCCCACCTACTCATATGAGTGTCATAAATCGGTTGATGATTGAAATGAAACAAAAAACTCACTCCTTTAGCAATACCTTCAGCATAAGTAGACACATTAGTGAATTTGCAAGTTCTCTCAATACAGATAATAATACTTCAGTCATTAAGATATGCTTGATGTCGTAAAGGATCGAATTTGAGGAAACTTTATGAAAGTCTTGTTGGCATACTAGGCAGAAAAATGGTATAAGTGACCACTTGGAAACTAGCAAAAGTGACCACCGCATACCTTCATGAAACGATTGGTAATGATTTCAACGTAACACCACTTTTCATTTGTTGCCTAATAGCTTCAAGGATTTCACTGACGAATCCAATTATGCCTTCACAATTACTTTCTTACAAACTTCAAAGTACGACTTGTCTCTTGCGCAAGTTAGTTTCATTTTCCAGTGATGTTTTCTACACTTATTAAATAACTAAAACTGGTTTAGGGACGTGATTGGAATATGCGAATTATGATAGACTGCATTATCATTTCCTAAGCATTTAATGTTTCGTTAAAAATGCTACCGAGTCCAAAATTCAATGAAGAACGCAGCCGAAGTCAAAGTTTTCCTATAACTTGAGTTCTTACAAAAAGTTAGAAGAAAAATGGTCTGTGGGAATCTTCCGTCAACTTATTTAACCATTTTTGTCTAAAAGGCAGATATGTACAGATCACGTGAGTCAAAAATATCAATCAGGATTTTATGTAGCAACTTGTTTTTATGTAATTATACTAACTCAACTAACGATACCAACAGCACCTGCAATAAAATAATATGTATCTACAACGCCATGACTATACCGAAAGCATATATTCGCAATGCTACTCCTAATAAAACATTCAACAGAAGCGTTAAAAATATCCCCAACAAAATAGAACAAAATAGAAATATTTTAGCACATCGCCCACACTGTAAACCTCAGAAAGTTAAATTTTAAGAAGTGACGCAAAACAATAATTGCTAATTACTCGCTTAATTGCTGCTACCAATTTCGCTAATTGGGATAAGCTTGAGGGAAATGGATGTTGAGGGAAAACCATTTCTGCAAAAAAGTCATACATTTTGCTGGCAAAACTTAGATAAAGACCACCGCACTGTGCAGGAATGTCGGTAACATTTCCTTGTATGTTTGTAAGACGAAAACATCACTTTTCACTTCGAAATTTAAGAAAACACTAGAAAGTTTAAACCGGAGAGAAATTAGACTTAGAACTGCCTTGCATCTGTTTGACAATTATGATTTACCAAACTTGCAGTACCATTTAATTTATTTCGAATTGGTAAAGTTCTATTTAATAAGATAATTTGAAAAATAGCAAATGTGAGGAAGAAATTGCTCCAAGTATTATGTTTGGATACACGCGGACATAAAAAGACAACAGTATCATTGACAAATAAGTTGGACTTCTGCATTCATGCCGATAAAACAGTTGTTTGTTTTCTATTGCTTTTATACCCGCGTTACCGTATGTAAACTACTGCAAAAAATAACACTCCTTCAACTAAGCATCTTGTTATGAAGGTTTTTCTGTACAAGTATAAAATATAATCCCATCCTTATCCACTTTCAATGTCCACAAAGCCTACCTCTTTCCGTAATTCATATATATATATATATATTCCTTGGTCGTGAAAACCAATTGATTCAAATCTCGACGGAGAGGTTAACTTGAATCTTTTACGATCAATATCGTGAGACGCAGCCAGAGGCAACTCTGCTCGAGTAATCAGGATACACTCTGCAATGAAAGGGCAGATGGTGTCTTATTCTCAATTTTAAACGGAAACCTCTCAAGATGAGCTTCATAATCATGGCTGATATTAAGGGTAAAACTGCCATTGTGCGAGGTAACGAGTCTAAGATGACAATATACACATTTCGACTACTTCATGTAATCAAAGTAAGCTGGGGAAAGCGGTATGTGATAAGTTTAGAAGGATCCTGATAAGAGTCTCTATAAAAATTTCTTTTCAGTTTTAACGGAATAAACCCACAATACAGCTAGAATTAATTTACATAGGATATTTCTTGTTCATAGATGTTTTTCGGAAAAACATCCTCACTAATAAAACGTGTGGTCAGGAAATCAACGTCGATCAACACTTCAACATTACCGACATGTTTAGAAGGTTTAATTGTGATGGTAGCATTCCCATAGACCAACATTTTAAGCGATCGGTTGCAACAATGCCAAACTGAAAGTCTTTTCAGTAATTTCGAAGTTTCTTTCGTAAACAGTACGAATAATATTATTTTAGATTGTTTTCCTGCATGTAGTGCATACTTTTGCGGATCAGAAATCATAAATGCAACTTTTCTAGCTATCTTCAATATTTTCTGCTTAGTATTACTAAGTGGTGAAAACAGGTAGGGAAGGATTCAATTCAAAAACGGATGAACCCAGTCATATTTCCTTTGCTCATAGATACATATTTGGCCTGACAATCAATCATCTTTTACTTCTCTTTCTGAAAAAAAATCTTGTAGCAACAACATAATGTGCTCGTTTACAATGTGTGAGGTAAAATTTTGAAACCTATAATTTTTTAATCCATAATATATCGTTATTCGTTTATAGAAATCAATTCGCAGTAATGAAAATCTTACGAAACAGTGCAGGGCCAAGAATTTCCACCAAAATTGCCCATCTTCATCTCATTTTCTACATATACACCTTGACCATTTGATTACCATCTTTTTGTCCCCTTCCGCAGGAATGTATATTGCTTCCTACCACCACTTTATCGTCCACTCCCTTTAAAACATCACTTCGCGCAGTTAGGGTGCCATGAAAATTGCTATCTCAACTGCGCTCTTCTGCAAACTGTTTGCGTTATTTTCTTTGTCCTTTCTGATACAATTTTAGTGGGTGTTATTACTTCGTATTTCACTTTAGCGGTTTTACTTTTCATTTTAGATGAGAAATATGTTTGATTACAAGCAAACAAGCACAATACGATTGTTTAAGGAAAGTGAAATAGTTATAATTAGGGTAAAAATAGCACAAATTGTTTAAAATTAAGGAATATAAATTCATATAAGTTCAAGTTCCAGAATATGACATCAGAATCGCAAGAATTACTCCTGCATACGATATTACATTTGTTATTCACATTGTGCATTGTGTATCCGCCAGTGGAGTTTCAACGTGCAGGCTTTACTATCCAAACATTATTTTCTGGATATTTGGGTATAGAACGAGACGATTTTGTTGGATATCATTTGAGGAGGTCCGTACTGACACGTTTCATACATTTTTGCTCCCCTTTATGTAAGTTTTTTGCGTTATTTTAGATCATCCATCTCCTTCAGTGAGATCGCATCCATGTTTATCCATTCGTATGCTTAATGAATAATAATGAATGATACTTGGTTAGTCTACCTTTTAGAGTCGTATTTTCGTGGTGATCTTCTAATCCTTCAGGAAATATCAAAGTTAGGGACATGTTTCATGGAACATCTCTTGCATGTCTGTATCCATTTATGCTTATATGTTTAATTATGTTGTTTATTTGTTTCACTTTCAGTTTACTTCGTCTACTTATCGGTGGTTTTACGAGGAACAATATTTACTCTTAGACCACAAACCATCTTGCAGTTTGGTGCCTACGCATCTATCGCCATCGCTGGAGGTAATATCTCCTTTCATCGCTAGTTCCCGTGTATCTGTGCAGCATTGGATGACTCGACTAACTAAACAAAACATTTTACTTTTCTGAGGATGAAGTGTGCGGCGTAAAGACTCTGTATGGTAAGCAACGGATTACGAGTTCGGGGTTCCAGCCTAGCTCTTTGGTCTCGGTTCAATCTGTTAGTATTGTGCATATGCATATCTTTACTCTTTTATAACCCAATTTGTTTTCTCATCACTTTCAGTCTCTGCATTCATAATGTTGTGTCATTGGTGGAATAGATTTGATGAACATCCGACTGTGCACTGTTTGAAACGCTATCTTGGCAATAACGGAAGCAGTTGGCATGAAGTGGCCGAATCAATCAACGCAGAGTATCGTAATATGTTGGATACATTAAGTATGACTCTAACAGGTTTGTTTCTTTTCCCTCCATTGATTTGTTTGTTAATGGTATTTTATGTATTTTCATTTTATGTATCTTCTTTATCATTTTCGGCTTTGTTTGACTTTCGTAAATTTGTATTTCTTTTGTTCAAGTTTTTGAACTTCGGGTTATTTTTTAGCTCCAATTATCCGTTTTAATAAGGACGTATTTTGTTCTGCAGGTATAGATCGTGTTGTGATGACATCTTCGTGGATTTTGAATATTACAAATTACACATTGACTTGTGCTCAAGTGAGTGATGTATCACTGGAAGCCATAAGAGCTGACGAACATCCGGTATTACTCGTTATTTGTCTTCCTGTTTGTTATTTTATATTCACTTTCTTAGTGGTACCGTCATTTACCTTGTTCTTTTTATACGATTTAGTCTAATCATGCTGTTTGCGAAATTCGGTTTGCGTAATATAAAAAGATGTGATAACTTTCCTTTATACGCCTTTAGTCTCTACTAAAGGGTGTTATTTTATACTTATTTCATCCTGTTTTCTTTGTAAGTAAAACCAATCCTGTATGTAGATTTCTCATCATATGCAAAGCGGTGGTTCGGCGCAATTCATCAGCATATGCGTAAAGAGTACAACACAACGTTTCAAACCATTTGTCATCAGGTTTGTTCATTAGTTTGTTCATCTGGAGATTATTTTAAAAATTGCAACTCTTTCCGTTTTGTCATTTTCTGCTTATTCATCCATCACTGATGAAAGATGAAAGGAAATGATTTAATGTTTATCGTTGTTCCATATAATTTAACTCTAAAGATACTATTATTTTCAGAGTACGCACAGAATCATTCCGTGATCTGCGCAACAAGCTAGA